ACGCACGCAACAAGGAGGCCTTCTCCACCTCCCATCTAGGCTGTGCAGGAAAAAAACCTATCTAAAACAAAATTGTAGCCCAGTTTTCCATTAACCTCCTGCATTTATGTGGAAAAAAAGGAATACCCTTTCCTGATGCCCAAAGTAATCACTCCCTTGTGCCTGAAAGGACAAACATCATAACATATGAAGTCTTCATATCTTACTTGCTTTAATTCAGATCATCAAATAAGTACACAAACCTCTTTAGCACATTAAGCAGAGTGAATACTGAATACAGTGTTTGGCACATGATCTGCACGGCTGCATGCTATTACTTACCAGGAATGTGGTTAATATTCCAGTGAAGTAAAATTTCAGCCATATGCATGAAATATCACTATAGAAACACCATCTTTAGTTTTCAACTAGGTGCCGCCAAGCATTATTAGTACTTACAGCTATTGTTAATTATTGGCTCTATGGCATGAATTGGTTAGCCCCTGATGTGCTGTAACTGTATTACCATATGCTTCAATGCTCTTCATCACTGCAATTATGGGCTACTTCTGTTTCCATTTTAAGAACTGCTCTAGTCTTTGAGATGGATTAAAAAAGAATTCTTGATTTTGGTTTCCCAACAGCTACGGCTCTTCTCTTCTTTTATTACTTAGTGATCCATGAACCAACTGAAGACAATTCTTTTGAAAGAGTATTACTAGGGATTACTGGAACATGGAATCTGAGATATTGTAATGGTTTCATTTTTTTCCCTTTAGTGAAAGTGACTGTGAACCCTGTTTGTTTTCTTTTAAACACTTCGCTGTTTTCATTAAGCAGTTCTTTTTACAAGCACAGTTGTATTTATTGTTTAGAATTTCCTTGTAGTATGGATATGTTGTACACAGCTGAAGAGATGTTTCTTATAGTTTCTGCTAGCCAGGTTTGACATGATTCAAGGTTGCTTTGAATGCAACTCTTTTCACTATCTTTTAGACCCAAAATGATTGTTGCTTGGTGATTATGAATGGGTCCAATTATCCACCAAAAATAAAGAGGATCTAAGTATCCTAGACAAGCTTACTTGAGTGTACTCTAATATATAGACATATAATCTCAGTCTAATCAACAAGGGGTCATATCCTTTGTAGATGCTATTAATGTCAAACATGTGTTTTGACTTACTTGAGCAAAGTTATCCTCAATTATGTGATTAAATAAATATTGATTAGGCTGAAATATAATCTTTAAATATTTTCAGGATCCTTGAGTTTCGGTAGTTTTTATCTTCTATGCTTCTTAAAGAACCTTCGTGTTCTCATATTAGCTTTCGACTTGTCAATAAGTTTGTATACTTGGAAACATATGAATTATGGGTTCTCTTTTGCAGGTTTATGGAAAGAAAGCACCATATAGATGTCACCGAGATCTTTAGAGTGCTGAATGTAGAGAAGAAATACCGAATGGTCAAGCTTGCTCTCTATTTCATCATCTTCTTTATTGTAATCTACAGGTGAGTATCTACTCTGCTATTGACTGCTAATATTTGTAGCTCATTGGAAAGCCATGTTCATTGTCTTTACATAGTTGAAAATAGATACATGGAATCCTGGAGTTATCAATTATCATGTAAGTACATGCCTCAATCAATGTGTCATGATCAGAACTTGCTAAATATGTTACAAACACAATAAAGCTGCAATGATTTTCACCCTTAACCAGATCTAATCTGAGCCATACAGAATAACAGAGATAGATACGGTGAGAATACATTAACATGCATCAGATGTGGGTTGAGATCCAGCTGCATTTACCTGATAACAGCTCATGATGCAGTTTCCATCATTTTGGTCTAGTTGTCTATTATTATTTTTATTTCAATTGCTTAAGTCTGGGTTCCTCTTGTGCTGGTTTAGCTGTTATTTGATTTCTCTAAATATGCATTGTTGGAGTTTCCTGGGAGTACTGCTAAATAGGAAGATTGATTATTTAGTTTTGTTTTATTTTTTATATACCGTTAGTGCAGCAAGAAGGATCGCCTACAATTGTTAACTTGTCAAAGGGTTTCAGGTTTTACCACTACATAAGCCTACAGTAAACTATGGCGATGATTCAGTAGCCCTTTTTTACGAGTATATGGTTGAGTCAGGTTTTACCACTATCTTGGTCATGTAAATCATAAATCCTTCGTAAGCAAATTTTAAACGGTCCTTATGAACAATGAATGACTTATTAATTGTACCCCTTGAATTCATTCTCTTGTTTCAGTATTTACAAGCTACTAGCTTGGCTTGTAGGACTTTAACCTTTAGTTAAAGTTAAACAGGAAGATTGATAATATAGTTTTGTTTTATTTTTATATGCCGTTAGTTCAGTGAGGAGAATCACCAACAGTAGTTAACTTGTCAAAAGGACTTTAACCTTCATGAGCAAATTTTTAAGGGTGCTATGAACAATGAATGACTTATTAATTGTACCTCTTGAATTCATTCTCTTGTTTCAACGTTTACAAGCTACAAGCTTGGTTTGTACCTCTTGAATTCATTCTCCTGTTTCAATGTTTACAAGCTACTAGTTTGGTTTATAATACTTTAACCTTTAGTACTTTTACTTTCTTACGTTCTTAAAAGACAACAGGATATTTTTTTTTGTTTTTTGTCTCCTACTGAGAGGGCTTTTGAAATCATTATATAACAAAAAATATTTATAAAAACTTAAATTTTGTTATAACAAAAAATAGTTGGGGCTTATATGTTCAAACTTCAAACTGTACTTCTATCTAGTGAAGGAAACCATTAATAATAGGATTCTGTTGGCGTGTTAAATCCTTCTTTTCTACCGTTTAACTTTCAGCTACTTTAATCTGACTCCAGATAACTGGAATTAGATGTTTATTTACTTCTAATTTTTTTGAAATGCAAAAGTGTCTTTGTTTCTCATTAAACACTTCTTGGAAAAGCACTGTGTACATCAATTTGGTTATATAACTTGTTGCGTTTGTATCTCCTTAAAAGGAATACTGTGAGCATTTGATTAGCTACAGCTTACAAGTACAAATATTTCCCTCCCATCTCATATTTTCCATTCTTTTTCGCTGCAGCCTCGTGGTCTCTGCTATTGTTTTATTGTTGGACGAACATGAAATGGAATCTGTAACATTTTAGGATGTAATCTAGCACCTCCAGGTAGTCATTCCTCTCATATTTTCACTCTGTATAACTATTTGGCAATCATTTTTTAAAAGAAAGTTCAGATTCATGTACTACTTTTTTTATCTTTTTATTATGGCTCTGGACATATGCTTTGTTCCGCAATCTTTTGGGAAGAAGAATTTAATGGTCAATATCAATCATTCTTAAACTTTCTGCTGAGATGTAGGTATCAGTTATGTTGAAGACAAATAGAGAGACAAATTCTCAAATATCAGTTACTTTTTGCTGATACAGTATGCTCATGTTCTGTCATTTGAGGGAATAATCTAAGCACAGTTCATAAACAGATCACTGATTTAACAGGAATATTTACTTGATTTTCAAACTTATCTCCTTTTTTTAAGATTTTCATAAGGACGGGGGTTATGGTTGATAGGTTGATAGGCCTAAGTCAATCTGATATTCAACATTTGAATTGTCAAATAACCAAGGTAGTTAAGAACACAGGGAACTCCTGCCACTCGGTGGCAATAAGCACTCCAAATACAGTAAATGACTGCAACTATAACCTTTTTTTTTCTTGTATCAAATTTTCTAATAAAAACGAGCAATCACATATAGAACTGAGATTCTAAATGACTTATTTGTACAAAATGATTTTTTACTTTCAAGTGACAGTTAGAATCTGAGTCAGATCGTGTTTTAAATCACATCAGCATGATGTGATACAGATGAGGAAACATTTATGATTTTACATAGATATTGCATCTCGCTAATCAGGTTCCTCAAATTATAAATATCATTTACAAAGTGCCATTTGGTTGGTAGAGGTGAAGTTTAAACTTTTCTCATTGAATCCCTTACCTGTAAATGACAAGTAACTAAGATGTACATTTAAAGAAAAAAATTACAACCCTCAATTGATGGAGGGGGTATTTTTCCTGTAGATGGAAAGTGACTAAATTGTGGTGGTTCTCTCAAGGACATTTTAGTTGTGTTATATATAGGTACTTCATTGAGAAAAATTTAAACTTCAAGGTGGGTAGACATCCCAAAGTTCAGGGAATTTATTAGGAGAGAGAAAAAAGTTCAGGAAGATTATTTGCAAAACCCTCAAAATTTAGAGGAGTTTTGTAAAATTAATCCTAAGTATATTTTGTGTATCACAACTGCAGAATTCTTAGCTTCACGGTATGTGACAGAAATTCAGCACATCCCTCTTCTTCCTATTCTCTTATTTAGCATCATTAGTGAAAATAATGTTGAGTTTGCTCTCGGCAGTACTCATATTGTTAAACTGATGCGTGCAGGGACTTCACATTCAAAATATCTATAGGATCCATTAACCACTTCACAATAGAGTCTACAGACAACCGAGACATGAGCAAGCAGTTGTCGGAGGAGGAGGCCTGTGTGTTATAAGATTATTCTGAGGACTCATCTTCAGGCATCATTTTCGATTGTGTCAGTGAAATTTATTGATCTGGAACGTTTCTCCTTAGTTTCCCAAAACTGATTGTTATCTCAGATAATTGTTGTTGTAGAAACCGTGACAAGTTCATGTACATTTCTCTTTGTATTCATAAAGGTCATGTAAATAGATTGTCATTATTTGTGGAGGTGCAGTCACCTGATGTCGTTTGTTGCTATCATGAGGTTTAGTGAATGGAGATGTTGTTTCCACTGTTGTAAGCGTAATCGATTCAGAAATTACATGAATCTTGAGCTCTATAATTGACAATTGCTTAGATGAGTAAAGTGATGCTGCTCCGACTTCTTTATGCTGGATATTAGGTTGGACAATGATTATACATATGTATCTACTGTTACATGTTGATGTAAATGCATATTTCTAAAGTTATTTGCTTGTTTCTCAATTTAATCTGCTGTTTAGTGGAGCATAATGGGATATCATGCTCAATAATATAGGATTTGCAAGGAAGAAATATGTTTTGAGTGTTGTGTGAAAGAAAGACAATGATGATATGAAAGGTTTTTTATCATAGATATATTAGGTGTTGAACAAATTTTCAAAACCAACCCATTTAGAAACTTAATTGTAAAAATCAACATGTTCCTAACTTAATCACTAAAATCGACCCAGTTTCAGCCAACTGGCTAAACCTGGGTCGATTTTGGTGAAAAACATTATAAAACTTCACGGGACTTCAAGTCTCGTGAAGTTTAAGTACTCATAATTAAGTTAGTTAGGGGGTCCAAAACTTCACGGGACTTGAAGTCCCGTGAAGTTTTGTGGCTTCGCCAACTTCACGAGATTTTAAATCCCTTCAGGCAGATTTTCCAGGGAGCACCCCTCTCTGGAAATTTTGCTTGCAACTCCACGGGACTTGGAAGTCCCGTGGAGTTGGGCAATGCCTATAAAAGTTCCACCCACACACGCGACTTCTCATCGTGTTGACCCCCCAAATACAACGCTCTCTCTCTCTCCTCTTATTTCCAAACCCTAGACCCTTACTCTTGCCACCGCCCCTACCGCCGCCACCCCTAATGCTACCGCCTTAGCCAACCATCACCGCCGGTGATCGATCCCGCTGTCGTCACTGCCTGAGTTCACCAAAAATTAGGACATTGACAAATTTTAGGTTAAATCTTTAAAAAAAACCCTCCTAATTTTTTTTTATATATTCTCACTATTTCATGCTAATAACCTGTTTAAATTTATATTTTGAAATAAATTTTGAAATATTTATGAATTTTGTGAAGAAAAATTAAAGAAATTTGTGTATGAAGTTAGAGGAGAAATTATCGAAAATTGTAAAAGTTAGTGTATTATAAAGGTTTGACATTTGGTTAAAATTATGGATGTCTAAAATCGATATTAGAGGATTTAATGGTAAATAATATTTTTTGTGTTTTTCGTGCAATATTGATATTGGATTTTTCTACTCTTCAGAGGTAATGATGAATGATCAAATCATAATTCTTTGTTCATATGATGAAAAAATTAACTATCTCGAGAATAATATGCCCGTATATGAAGGAGGTGTGACGAAACCGTTGTTTATATCAAATCCATGTACTTTCGATGAATTGGTTAATGACTTACACAAACTTATATTAACCAATTCACGTGAGTATCACTTCAACGTTATTTACAATTATCCTGTTACTTGGAATATAACAAGCGACATCCAAATCTAAAGTGGCTACGATATGGATCTTATTAGAATATTGCATGACGAGAAGCATTCGGTGGAATTATTTATTGATAAATTATCACAGAAATCTGGGCAAATTGGTGAATCACGACAGAGTATCTCTCGCATGTTGGAGGACCTTGAAGTTGACTCCGACGGTTTTTTATCTCCGCAACAAGATGTAGGATGAACACAGTCATAATACTTGAGCGGTCCTTAGTTTGTGGACACTTCAAATGCCTTCAATGATAGCGCTCACCATCAATATATAATGCCTTCCACAAGAGTGACGATAGAAGATGATAATGCTGAAAACACCCTAGAGGGCCGGGGTTTGGGGGGTGGGGTGGGGGGATGAATAGGGTTATTGCTAATCTTATTAGATATTAATACCGATTAAAACTTATTAATAAATTATTCTTGCAAGGTAGATATACAATGTAATATGAGCAAAAATGAGCAATATAAACAAAGTGCAATAATTATATGCAAGGATAAGCAAAACAACAAATGTGATAGGGCAATGTAAACAATGAGCAATGACGAATAAAATAGACTAAGCAATAGACACAAATGATACGCGAATGCAAACTCTAACACACAAAGATGATCACAGAGTTCAGACCTTCCGTCCTACGTCTCCGCTCCCCACTCCTGGGAAGAAATCCACTATCACAACCGGGTTTTCTACGCTCACCCGAATAACATTTACACCTCACAACTCGGTTTTCTAGTGTTCGCGGGGAAAACTGTTGCTTTCTTCATTAATGATTCCATTGTACACTCTTGTAACAGTTTATCGATTACAAAGATCCGGTCTTTTTATAAGATCCGGTTACAACGAAAATCAAATAAAAGAAATGAAAAAATTACAACTTTGTTTCCTTGTTTGTCGAACGAATCACGAGCTCCTGTTTTGCGGTCGCTCGCTTTGTGGGTTCTTTGCCTGCGCCGGGGTTTTTTGCCGTGGACCACCGCGCGATCTAGATCCGGTCGGATCTACGCAGTACAACGGGTATTATTTCACCAAGGAAATAATAGCCGGGGAGGATTGTTTCACCAAGGAAACAATCGTCCAAGTCTCGGGATCTAAGACCAAGCTTAGATCCGGAGTTCGTACGCGTAGATCTGAGATCTGGTCCTCTCGAACACCTGCCTTATTTGGCGTTGACGGTCGCCGAGCACCAGATCTAGATGTGCAAGTCCTTGAAGTCCTAAAGTTTGAATCTTGTTAAGTTCTGAGTCTCCAATCCAGCAGGGCTTCGCCTCTCCAAAATTTCCAACCCCTCAAATGAACCAAGGCCTAGCCTATTTATAGGCACTCAGATCTGTGCCTAGGCACAGATCTGGGCCGGCCACCTCAGGGTGGCTCGGCTCTGGGCCGAGCCACCCCAAGGTGGCTCGGCTTGGGCCGAGCCACCTGAAGTTGGCTCGGCCTTGGCCGAGCCACCTTGAGGTGGCTCGGCTTGGGCCGAGCCACCTGAAGTTGGCTCGGCTTCGGCCGAGCCCCTCTAGGTGGTGGGTTTGGTGTTTTCCGCCTTGGTTCTATCTGTGATTTGGTTCTGTGGTTGATTTATCCAGACTTGATTCGTTGACCTGATTTGGCAGTAAATCCACTTCTGAGTCTGAGTCCGAAACTGATCTTGATTCGATCGTGATTCGCCCGAGTCCGCTCTCGGTTGGATGACTCGTTGACTCTTCGAACACTTGGCTTGATCCCGCACGCGAATGGATGTATTCCGTTGCTTGCGTGCGATTCGTCGATCTCGTCGCCTCGTTGGTTTGTCGGTTCGTGCCGAGCTGAGCTAAGGGACCTATAAGCAATTTTATATGCCTACAGATACCCCCTCCAAAGTATTTCAGTCTCGTTCTTTTATAGAAGAGTCTGGAATACTTTGGATATGATTGTCCCCACCTTCAGTCGGTGTAATGGGACCTTGGAATGACTTCCGTTCTTGATTCCTTCAATCTTCCAGGCTATTCGGTGCTTTGTCGAATGTCTGCAAGAGTTCCGGTGCTGCATTTATTGTCTGACCGTTGTCGGAAATTCGAACTTGAAGTCAATTCCTGGTTTTCTGATTTTTAGCTCGTGCTTGTTGGTTGAACACAGAACTGACCCTCGACTGTCGGCGTTGAGTCTTTGTTTGCGACGCGTTGTCCGGCGTAGTGTTGTTGAGTTATCCTTAAGAATGAAAATATTCTCCAGGAACTTCTCAACCAACAATAGGGAATAGTTTATACTCGTATACCTTATTGGAGTATTAAGAAGCAGTTTAACCTCATGCACTGTTGGAGGATTGAGGAGCAGTTTATACTCATATACTCTTCGGAGTGTTAGTTCTTTCATTGCAACGCATTGATAGGCGTTGACCTAGGGTTACGCGTTGTCCGGCGTTGACCTAGGGTTTTGAACGTCGTACGTTGATTTTTTGATCGCAACGCATTGACTGGCGTTGACCTAGGGTTACGCGTTGACCGGCGTTGACCCTAGGGTTTCGAACGTCGTACGTTGAACTTTTGCTCGCAACGCGTTGACTGGCGTTGACCTAAGGTTACGCGTTGTCCGGCGTTGACCCTGGGGTTTTGACCGTCGTACGTTGACCTTTTGATCGCAACGCGTTGACTGGCGTTGACCTAAGGTTACGCGTTGTCCGGCGTAGACCTTAGGGTTTTGAACGTCGTATGTTGCTCAGGTCACGAGACCAACTAAAGAAGCTGATGCGTCAGTGACTTTCGTATTTATAGGATTTTTGGCAAACCCTCAGCCATTAACGGGTTTGATGAGCCTTTACCGACTACCGTTTGAGTCGGGCTAGCATGCGGATTGTTCAAGTCCGTTCCGCATGTGACGTTAAGCTAAAAGAGTTAACCCTTTTAGTGCTACGATATTGAATACGTAGACTTCGTCTTTCTCCTGTGAAAAGACTAAACAGCAACGTGTATCAGACGTTGACTTAGGATTTTTGGCAAATCCTCAGCCTTCAACGGATTTGACATGCTTTTACCGATTACCGTTTGAATCGGGCTTACATGCGGATTGTCTTAAGTCCGTTCCGCATGTGACGTTGTGCTAAAGGAATGAACTCCCTTAGACTTGATGCTACGACTTCGAATACGTAGACTTCGTCTTTCTCACGGGAATAGACTACCCGGCGACGCGTGTTAGGCGTTGACTTTAGGATTTTTGGCTAACCCCAAGCCTTTAACGGATTTGATTAGCCTTTACCGACTACCGTTTGAGTCGGGCTAGCATGCGGATTGACGAAATCCGTTCCGCATGTAACGTTGTGCTAAGAGAGTGAATTCTCTTAGACTTTGTGCTATGATGTTGAATACATAGGCTTTACCATTGTTATGGGAATAGGCTACCCAGCAACGTGTATTAGACGTTGACTTATCCCTACTTAGGCTTCGGGATAAAAATACCCCAGACTGGTATTCTGGTGTCTTTTTCAATCGGTAAAAGACTAAACCGGCGACACGTGTTAGGTGTCGACATATCCTTTCTTAGGATTCAGGATGACATTCCCCATGCGTGTAAGGCATGGATTTTGGTGTTATTAATAACAACCTGTCACAATGTTGAATATGTGAACGGGTGTTCTTTTTAAACGGTTAAGAAC